AAATGAATCGCTTCTTGCAGCATCCTTCGTATCACGGTGCGTTACCGTTAGCTCGGCCCTTGCGATCGCGCCGCGCACTTCTTTCTGTTCTTTTTTCACCGTCCCGGATCGCGCCCGGTCATCTTCGTTGTCCGACCGCAACGAGAGAGGCGAACCCGTTCGATATATTTCACAACAGCGCGGGACACAAGCGCAGCGAATGCCTGTTACTTGTAGATCGGAGCTGTTTTATTTCTAAACACACGATGATGTGTAAAGGTGTCATGTTATCTCTTTTTCACTTGGCAAACACGTTCGTTTCGATTTTATTCCGACCATGTAGTGTCAAAAAAAACATTTCAAGTAATTAATGAGAAGTTAAGTGGGAAGTTAATAAATTAATATTTTTGAAAAAAAGTGCAAGTAAACTGTTATCTTCCTACACATTTTAACGATTATTTTGGCATGTTCAAAGCCAATTATTTACTCTCCCACAAAAACGCACAACATTGGCAAAGTGATAATTAAAATCAAGAAAAAATCGAGAAAAAATGCGAAAATCTTACTCATGAGAAATAAAGATTCGGCAGAACCGCGAAGGATTATTAAATAACCTCCGTATACCGAAAGAACCCGTGGTTAAGACGCATTACGATGTTATCCTGAAACCGTGAGTCGTCCATGGTTCATCGGCCAAGCATGACGATCCGCCGCCGCTGCCGCCGCCGCAAAAAAGGAAATATCGCCCGAAGACCACGGGGCGATGCAGATGAAGGATTAATCGGTTACAGTTTGCGATGTATGTACATTCCGGTTGTCTGACGCAAAGAGCGCACGCGTCTCGGATAACGCTATTATCATCGAACGTGAGCAATTAGGACTGCGGATCGATTCAATTTGCGGGGCGCGTCTTCGCGCGGTAGTGAACTTTTTATTTGTTTCGTTAATCGCTCTTTTTTCCGCCCGCATACTTTAGCAGCGAGATAGAAATATCGTTTTAATCGACGTGACCAAACGCCGCGTGGGTTTACGTGGCTTCTTCGCAGAGACGTGCAATAGCACGTGACAAGCGGCGAGCAAAATGCGAATTTGATTGTACGAATGGGAGGCAAAAAAAAGTCCCCGCAAAAAGTTGTCCATGGCAAAACACGCGACGAGCCGCACAACGATCCGTTCGTCACATGCGAGCGTAAAACGAACATTTTTTTATTTCTAGTCGGCTGACTAGAAATATATATATATATATATATACGAGATGTAGTCAAAAAATAACGGGAATTTTCGTTTATTTATTAATAAAAATGAATTTTGTCCCCTTTAAAGTGATCTCCCTCAGATATAATATACTTGTACCAGCGCTTTTTCCAATCTTGGAAGCGCTTCTGGAACTCATTTTTCGGTATGGCGTTCAGCTCCTTCAGCGATTCTGTTTTTATCTCATTACTGACAAAACGTCCTTTCATGGTTCTCTTCAGCCTCAAGAATAGAAATAAGTCACAGGGGATCATGTCCGGCGAATACGGTGGCTGAGGCAAAATAACGGTTTTGTTTTTTAGCAAAAAATTACGAACAAGCAGTGAGGTGTGAGCGGGAGTATTATTGTGATGCAATTTCCACGAATAGTTTTGTCACAATTCTGGGCGTTTTCGTCGGATTGCTTCACGCAAACGGCGCATAACTTCCAGGTAGTATTCCTTATTGACCGTACAACCATATGGCAGGAACTCATGATGCACTACGCCATTGAAATCGAAGAAAACAGTGAGAAGAACCTTCACAGTTGATCAAACTTGTCGAATTTTTCAACATCTTCACGGCCCTCTTTGAAACGTTTGTATCACTCGTAAACTCTTGTCTTACTCATAGTAGATTTGCCAAAAGCCACAGTCAACATTTCAAATGCGGTGCTGCACTTTATTCCATTTTTTAAGCAAAATTTAATACAAATTCTTTGATTCATCTTTTTCGAAAGTAGAAAATCGCCGAGCACACCAAAACACGTATAACATTTTCGACTGTCAAAAATAAACTGAACATTCGAAATGGCTACAAATGTCAATATACGTCAGAAACATGTGTACCAACAAGTGTACTAACAATTTTTGAAAATCGGATTTATAGAGTCCGCGGAAATTCAAAAATTCCCGTTATTTTTTTATCGCACCTCGTATATATATATAGTCAGCCGACTGATAATATATATATTATATATATATATATAAAACATTTTCATCACGAGATAAAATCAATGATTGACAATAAACGTCGTCATTTATAGACCCAGAATGTATAATTACAGATGCTACAAATCTAGTTTGAAAATCAAGATAAATATAAAAACAAATTTATGTATGGAGCTAATTCCATACATAAATTTGTTTTTATCTTTATCTTGATTTTCAAACTAGATTTGTAGCATCTGTAATTATACATTCTGGGTCTATAAATGACGACGTTTATTGTCAATCATTGATTTTATCTCGTGATGAAAATGTTTTTTTTTTGTGTGTGTTTAGCTTTCTAATCGATATTTTATATCTCCCGACATCGAGCAAAGAATTTATTTATCGCGGATTATCTCTCGACATTAAGTAAAGGATCGTTCACGGAATTTTTTTCCTCATTTAAATTACATATTTACTTACGTAATTTTTCACGTAACTACTAACTGTATTATTAATTTATTTATTTATGCGCACAATTTCCGAACCTAACATTAAGGAACTAATTAAAATCGGCGCAAAGTTGTTGATTAATGAATTAATTTCACTCCGCCGAAAAATATCAGTCTGCTTCTTAACAAGAAGCGACATATCCGCGTGAAATAATGAAGATAGAAAACGGTACCTACCTGTCTGCCTCGAAAATACAATTTCGGGCAGAATTGTTGAATCCGAAATACGGTAAAATTAAAACGCCTTATCTCCGCTTTCTTTCCGGGCAAACCGTCCGGTTTTCGGAGTTTACGGTTCAACCGGTTCGCGATATTCACCGTCACGCGAAATTTCGCCGTCCAATTAAACGCAGTGTCTCTCACTCGGACTAATTTGCGTTAAAGCAATTTCCATTGCGCTTTGCGAGATATGCAAACCGCAATTCACTCAACTCGCGCGAGAGTGGCATAATTCAGGTTCACCGTTGTCCGCGGAAAAACTGGTTCCGAGATGTATGCGTGTACAACAGAATTGGTCTACATTCCGAGGCAGGTTCATTCAGGCGTCAAAATTGACCCATACGAGTTTCCAGACATAACTCTTACACGTGTGGTTGCGATTCGCGACTGTAATATTCCAATTACACGCGCAAACGCACGAGTTTATCGCGTTATAAATTTTCACGAGAAATCGAAAGACTCTACAGATACATAAGAATGTACGCGATCATGCAAAACCTTATTTACACATCGACAGACAAAAAAAAAATCTTATCCGTCGTGTGTGGGTTTGCGGTAATGAAATTCTCCGCGCACTTGTTATCGCGCCTCGCCAAACGCCTTGCAAAAAAGAAAAACCGATTCGACGCGAAAAAGTTCCGGTGCAAAAAGCAATGGAATATCGCGAGAGAGAGAGAAAGAAAGAGAGACAGTGGAGAAACACGACCTACGATAAAACTGCATCGCACGCTGTCGAACAAACTACCGACGGCTACGATATCGCCGCTATTTATTTCGGCGGGGTCACACCGGTCCTTCCGCCAAACTTTATCCTCGAAACAATTCCACGGCCGAGAGTTACGGGACCGAGGTCCGTGTTTCGCCTGCAGTTTCGCTCCGCGTGATAAAAGTGCGCGCTCGAAAAATTCAAGAGATACCGGTGAAATTTATATCGCGCCTTCTCGGATAGCGTGGAAAAGCCCGATAAACTCCGGATAAGACGAAGCGAAATTCGTGGCCGATCGTTCGCTCCCGTTGATTTTCTCGTCGATACTAGAGATGTAAATCGAGAAGATATTCCGAAGCACCACGGATTTGATAGATTCCCATCATCATAGCCGGCAGTGTAAAAATGTACATCGCGACTTTTTCAATTTATTGACGCGTGTATCCAGGAATATCATCTTTCTCGATAGTGATTTTTTTGTCCGAAAAAAAAAAAAAAAAAAAAAAAAAAAAAAAAAAAAAAAAAAAAAAAAACTGAACGTCAATCATTCGTCCCTGTACGTTTAAAAATGAAATTTGCATCTGCGCGAAAAAATCAAGCTGAGAAAAAAAGAAGAAACACAATCGCGCGTTGCGTATGGGGCCTCTGGCCAGTTCTCAGTTCTTCCTTTTGTTTCTTCTTTTTATTCCAGAAGATATCGAGAAGAGGATAAGAAGTACGCGCGGCCAACCATAGTATGCACAAAATCCGGCCCCAAGCCGGGGTAAGATAATAAATATGCAAAAAGGAGGAGTTTTGATGCCGTAAATAAAAACGTGGGCTTGCGTGCCTGTGCGAGGAGAGAGTCTGCGGTGAAAGAGGATCGCGCGGTTCGAAATAAAAGAACGAACACGGGGCTGGGAAAAGGGTAGGGTGCATTTGAAGGGTAGAGGAATGCGAAAGAAAGAGCGGAGTCTCCGCTAGAGCTTCTTTTGCGAAGGAAGCAGCGTGCGCGCGTTGTAATCTCTTGATTTAGTTCGACTTAGTCACGATAAATGGCGTTCGGCCGATACTTTGTCGGCCGTCTCGAGGCGAGAAGACGGGAAGCGAGGAGAAGGGAAGAGAAACGCGCGATGGAGATCGGTGGTTAGACCAGTATCGCGCGGTTGGGCAATCATTCGGCGTCCGATATTCGCGGACGACGTCTCCATCGGCGGAAGATTGCGCGCGGCGCTAGCTAAATTTGGAAGCGGCGAGATTCCTTATCGATCCTGCGCGCACCCGAACGCCGCTCATAGCATCTCTTGCCTAGCACAAGCCATGACGATAGAGTTGCTACGTTCACGAAAATGTCGTGAATCTGATGCGGAGACGATGTGTATGACACAACGTGTATTCGTGAAATATAAATATAATATATAATATATGCTTTTATACACTTACCTGTACTCGCTGTCGATGTCGATCTTGTTTCCGTTGTCGTCTCTCCAGTTCTTCTTTTCTTTCAATCAGCGACCGTATCTCGACCGCCGCCACGGGAGCTGTCATATCGTCGGGCATATTACCGCACGAGGGTAATCTTCTCAATGTGGGAACCGATTCCTCTTCTCCTTCGCTGTAACTCTCTACCAGAAGTTCTGAATCGCTCTGCAAGTGAATTAATTCCGTTCCTTGGATAATACCCGTACTAGCAATCTGATTGAAAATTTCGAAAAAGACATTCTTAATCTCCAGATCTGTTCCAAATTGCTTTTTAAAATAATAAAATAATAAAACAATTAAATAATAATAAAACAATAATTACAAATTTCTATAATAAATTTTTCGATTGTACGTGAAGTACATTTTATAGAAAGAATTAGAGAAATAAATTTTTTGAATCGTAAGTACAGCGACTCTCTTTCGATTGTCGCTGTTTTTTCGAGCGAGAGGAAATACAAATTCCGTACAGCTCTAAGCGAGACTGTACTTTGTGCGTTTTCTCCGTAGAGCCAGAGATTTACGACAGTTACCTGTGTCGGCGGCGAACTCGGTGAACTCGTGCTCGAGGCCTCAACCACGGAAACGTATTCGTTAACACCGGTCTCGCTCTTTTGCAGCTTCAGTACCGGTGTCTCCAAGCCGCACAAGAACACTTGACCGAAGAAAAGGATCTTGCTTATCCTGAGACACACCTGAGCCACTTCCTGAAAACGCGTCCAGAGTTCGTTTTAGCTAGTAGACGTCGAGCGAGATATTCCCCTGACGTGCTAAAGTTCTTCCCAGAACTTGGACATTTTCTCGAAACATAAATGTCCTCTCAAATTTAAACAAACTCGTCTTTTAAAACTTATTGTTGTCAAAAATGTATAGACTCCTTTTGGGCGCGTATACACGTCAACGTAACTGCTCTTAAACAATCTATAAATAATTAACGCGCTAGAAAAAACTCACCATGTCCTCCGTTTTTTCCACGTAGCAAGGATCCTGAGGATTGAGCATAAGAGGAGTAAAACCCGCCAACGTGATATCTTCTGGCAGTTTAACAAGTTCTAATTCTGAAACACAAAGAAACGCGAAAGATTCGATAACACCTCGGGCGTATACACATGTGTAATGTCGCTCGAGTTACGTTATTGTGCCAAATTTGAGTTTTTCAACGGTATGCGATAGATTGACCTTAAATTCACGCGAACGACGCGCGAAGATGCATATCACGTATTGCAAAAGGAGCTCAGATGTATGTGCAACGCGATTTAGAATCGATCAGGTGTGATCGCATTCTGCTAACTCGTCGCTTTTCGTGTTCGGCAACTTAAGTTGTTTTGATAACGTAACGCTTAGATGCGGTAATAACTTGCAATATGAAATTATAATCCGAGGCAAAATCTAAAAATAATTGCGCGCAAATGAGATAATCGAAGATATACTTAAATATCGAACATTCCTCGAACGGTTCTTTGTTCGTAAAATAATTAAAGAGAGTAAAACCCTTTTTTCGATAATTACGACAATCAATAAAAAAAGTTCTGTTCTGTCTCGTCAACGATTTCGAGAGACAGGCGTTAGCAAAAATTTCAATTTCACGTGTGACTTGGGGAACTTGGCGATCTTATCAATTCTAGTCAGCCGTGTGATCAGCCTCACCGACGCGCGCGTAGAGTGATATTCACTATGAGTAACGCGCACTTCTCTACGTACATACATACTCGATTTAGAGGTAAGTGTACCGCGAGCAAGGACGCGCCGCGAAACTAGAACGCTAGTTTCCAGGCGAACGGACCCGTTGGAAGACCCAGTTCGAGATAGAACTCGCGATCGCGTCGAAGCGCGATCTTGGAGGGGAAAATATAAAAATCTCGTCGTGTGTTTAAATCAAGCAGGCATTCGCGCGGCCAGCCGTTCTTCCAAGGTCTTTGCCAACGATCGATGAATAGCTGCTAGAAGAAATGATCGAACCTTGATTTATTTACGTTGGGCGCAAAAAATTTTAAATATGACATTATGTAAACAGTTTTATTTTTCTTTGTACAAAGAAAAGTGTCGATGTAAAATGAATCTTTTTTTTTCGAACTCAATATGTGATGAAAAAAAAACCTTTAAGTTTACTCTCTCAAAAGAACGATTTAAAAAAAACCGATAAACTATTGTTAATCCTGAAGCTGTCCGCACAGTTTGAATATTATATATTTAATACTTATTATATGCGCGTGAGAGACGATCGCCAAAAAATTGGCGGAAGACGTCACCGGAGATCGCGGTGAGGTCTACACACGTGAATGAGCTCCGGGGCAATGTAATTTGTGTATTCATAACATGCGCGCGGCGAACATATAGTGGCGATGTGGCTTGCACGCACGCTGAAAGACCATTGGCCACACGCTACTAAATGGCCGCAAAGAGAATGGCACTGCAGTGGTCATGTCGAACGTATTCACCGTTACGCAACCGTCGCTACCTTACGGGTCAACAGACCGGGCACCGACTTCGTAGACTACGAGAAACGCAGCTTTTTCGATTAAGTCTGGTCCAAGTCTGACAGATCGCCAAGTCAATCGCTCACAAGCGCAATCGATGATCAGACATTTTAACGTGAAAAACATATTGTTACGAGTCAGCCAAATTTTGCGATCAAAGACAGTTTGCGATCATTGTTTGCTGGATACGAAAAAAAAGTTCGAGAAACACTGTTGAATTCTTCTTACCTTCTTCGCGACCCTCGGCATCCTTGCCCTGAATCAAAGTTGTTCTGCTGTAATTAAGTTTCTCCAAGAGGTTCACCATCGTCGCCAATCTGCTCCATGCGTCTCCAGGCGGGCTGTTGTAACAAACGAGAAGTTCGGAATATGAAGTTTCATCGCGCTAAAATTCGTCATAACATTGATTTAAGAGTGTGACGAGAGACCGAAAGAATCGCCTACGGCTCTTCTGCGTCACTTCTGGCCAAAGATCCTTCGGTGATCTGGCAAAATTCTCAGAAGGACTATAATCATCATTCTAATATATAATTTGAAGGTGAACAAGACGGGAATTCAATGAGATCGAATTCATAAAGTTCGTTCGGCACAATTGAATCGATCTCGAAGGATCGGATCAGTGATTCGTAATTTTTGGAATAACCAGAATTCTCAATTAATCAAAAAATATATATATTTCTTTATACCGGACCTCTGACGTTATCTGAGCGCCACTTTGGCGCCGCCGAGGCCAACGAACTTCTTACATGTACCTTCGGGTAATATTCGGGGGGGAAGGGGAGGAGGTAATTTTCTACGGGTTTCAGATTCCTCATTATTGTTTTTGTAAGAGTGACGGCGTAAATGCCCGAAAACTCGTTCGGCTGCCGACTGTGTAAACAACACTTGCTCAAACATTTGCTTTTTCACGAAAAAAACTGACTGGCTAATTTGCTACTTAATTTCCTTCGCTACCGGTTATATGCTGACGCTGGTACTTGACATGAGATAAATACTTTCGGTTCTGGGATCATTCGTCACGCGACAGAATTCTTTCGCCGCAAGTTAAAATTTACCGCGTACCAATCGGGACGGGGAGAGGAGACCCACAATATAACAAGCGTCCGATGAAAATTCCGTTTCTGCCGAAACCACCACACGTTTCGATGCGCCGCACGAAAGTGCATCGAAGATATTTCCGAGATTTTGCGAGGCACCCGAAACGATCACGACGCGCGTTGAATTTTCGCACGCCTTCACGTGGCGTGGGACGTGCGCGACTTCGCATATTCACGACCAGATATAAATCCGAGACGCGCGGATTGAAAAACGAGCGACTAATGAAATTTATATCTGACCATTTGTGGCACGAATAAGACGAGGTGGACGCGAGTTCTCGCGCGCGAACATGATATATCCCCGCGCGGCTATTTATTCCCCCAATGTCGAGAATTACATATTGGAAGTTATTGCTGCTACACAGCAGCAGCAAAAGAGAGGGAGGAAAAGAGACGGCCACGTAATGCACGCGCTGGATAATAATAATAGATCATGGATTTATACATTTAATGTACTTCGGTACGACCGACGGCGGCGGTGGCGGCGGCGGCTTGTTCCGCCGACGTTATTAATGATCCACCAGCGGCGGGGACATACGTTTCCATTCCCCATTTCCGTGTTACTGTAAAACCAAAGTCGCTTGCTCAATTAATTTCTTCTTGCTCCCGAGTCTAGGATCTCGCATCCGAGCAGGGAGAGACACTCGGAGCAATTATCTTCAGCTATAATATCTGCAATTCTTTATCTATAATCGTCTTCAGATTCACGTTAACGAACTTCGAACTTGTAAAAGTAATCTCGCGCCGCGATTCGCTGACCTCGTATAGTGTTTCTCACCAGATAATTTATTTCGGTAAATAATCACATTGTGTAGCAAGTAATAACGCAGCGCAATAAAAGCGGCAATGCGGCTACGCTTCGAACTCGAGAAGATATAAGGGACTGCGCCAAGACCGCGAAGGGTTTATTTAACTGATCGCTTAATTTCGCGACGACGCGGCAAAAGTGCGCGTGCCGCTCGTGCTTTCCTGCGCGATTAATCGGCCGGTGTCGTTAAAGGTCATCGGTTAATCGCGCTTGGAACTCGCGTCGCGATGTCCCGCGATGTTCGCGTTGAGAATCGTCGCTTCTAGTTGCTCTAACGCGGCGGCGGCGGCGGCGGCGACAACGACGACGACGACGACGACGACGACGACGGTGTTTCAAAATCGAGAGGATCGCGTCTCGCGCGTTACGTGGCGTCCTTGCCAAGGAAACACTCGACTCATAATAATTGTTAATCAACCAACGAACAACAATAATTAAGCTATCCCAGCGCGGAATGGTGACTACGTTGGTTACGCAAAGAAGCGTGCGCGTTTCTCGAGAGCAAGACGTTGGCAAGAAAGAGAAACGGAGACGGGAAGAGAGATGTGGGAAGGGAGAGAGCCTTGAGGCTCGTTTAATGGACGGTAGATTGCATCAGTCGGACAAGCGTGACTCTCTGCGCTCTTTTCTCTCGCTCTCTTATTCTTCTTTTATTTTATCTCATTAGCGAAACTCGCGCCGAGAAGCGACGACGCGCCGTGCGTCGATAAGATGAACGGCGCGCGCTCTTTCTCTCTTCTCTTCGTCGCGCGTTTCTCTGCGAGCGCGCACGAATTCGCTCACGCTCGCGAATGATCAATTCGAAACGCGTCGACCCGGTCCTTTGTGAAACCCCTGGCCCTTGAACACACGGCAGGGCGTCGGGATTTCCCGACGGTCTGCTCTCATGTCCCTTATTTAGCGGCGTGACTCAGCGCGATATACGGCAAAATTCGGAGGGACCCTGTGCCCGCGTGCGAAAAAGTGAAGCTCGAATCAAAATCCATTATATCCCCCGTAAAGTACGACAAGCAGAAAATCATCGGATAAAATTGAATGATGGGTCGATCTTGAAATATACCGCGGTCGGGAGCTTCGTAACTTTGGCACCTATATATTAAAATCCGTGATTCTAATCTCGTTTCGGAACAATTTTTTTAACAACTTTCTTCAGTAGTTAATAATAATTTGCACGTACTTCTCTCTGCGGTAAATGATCGCAATTTATACAATAGAGATAATTTATAAATGTTTTTTTTTTTCTATTCTTCTGTATTTTATCATTTATTAAGTAGCTAATATATTCGTTCTTTTGTTTCTTTTTTCGGAAACTCGCCGACAAAACTGCGGTAGCGGTTTGTATCGCGAGAATTGTGAATTAGAAACAGAGTGGAATGTTACAATCACAAACACGTGTCGCGCCACGGGAACGTCGTCCGACCGCCGCGGGTGTTGCGAACGTCTTTACCTGCGAGTTTCTCACACCGCGCGCGATTCGCCGAGGCATCATCCCGCGCGGGAAAATTAATAGTCCGATACAACAGCCATAATTCAAAACACCTCAAGTGTCAACCTGAATTAATAGTCGCCTCGCGCAGCTGCGACGTAGCCGGGGCCCGAATGCAACGCGCAAGTTGGCGAAAGCCACCCCTACAAATCTCCCCTCTCTTCTTTTCTTTCTTTCTTTATTTCTCATTACAACGGCTCCGGTCCGAGAATTAAATATCCGCTTGACAAAAGCGGAATAATGTGAACCACCAGTTCGCGCGTCCACATTGCGCGAAACTCTCCCTTGAAATTGGAACCGATGCGGTAATAATTAAAGCAAGACAGTAACTTATGCATTCGCGACGACAACGACGACGCGAAGAAGCGTGCTAGAAATAGTGCCGCGAGAAATCTGCGCACGGCTCGCGTTCGCGACTTGAGAGATCGAGTCTCGATACGATGCAGCGGTTGACCGTGACCTACGCCACGCTCACTTCCATCACCTTCCCCCCCCCCCTGTGAGATATCGGTTCTCGGATAGCTCACGTCTATTAAGTTAGCACGACCAATCGGGTAAACAGCAAAAGATGTACAAGGACGTAATATTCTTTTGTTGCTAATTTGCGGCTCTTTTCCCGACTTACGTAGTGTCCTTTTGTTAAAAAACAAGTGGCGCGGCGGCTCAAGTTCAAAGTTGCGGTCACATGCAAAAAGAAACGAAAGATTCTCGAGAGACGAAGCGCCCAAGGCGTCTTCGGCTAAGGTCGATTATTATAATTTACCTCGATACGATAATCAAATATGGTTAGTTCACGGTCTTTAGTCGCGTTTCGCGAGCTGATGAAGATCCCTCACTTTTAGAATTTAAGTTATCTCAAGGCCGGGAGCACATGATTGTGCTACGTGCTATAATGCCTCACTTGTGTGCGGCCGTTTCGAAGATAACTAAAATTTCAAGACGAAGATCGAATAATAATTATTTTCAAATTTAATCGTTCTTCGAAATATTCTCGTTCGAATCATAAAAAAAGGGAATATACGGAAAGAATTGATTTCAAAAAAATCTACATCGGTAGGTTCTGCAGAAATTGCGCGTTGCGATAAGAACAAAAAGATGCTACAATTAGGTACTACCGAGTTATCACAATTTCGTATTACATTTACGTAATATTTTGAACTTCAGATTTCAAATACTTTAATAAATTAAATAACGGCTCGATGAGATACTCAAATAAAAGTAAAAAACCGTAGAGCCTGTTGTCCAGGAAGGAAGTGGAACTTTAATTTGACTTGTCAAATTAGATGCGTACATGTTTTTATTTACTTATTCTGTTTTTTATCACTTTGTAACGGATATCTTTCAAAATTTTATAAATGTATATATTATGTTATTTAACAGTGCTGAAGATGATCAACAATAAATGATCGAAACGTCTAACTCAAATACTTTAGTTTTCAATTTCTCCATTCGTTGTTCACATACGTACGTAAACGCGCATTTTTACTTAGCACGAGTTGCTCGCTATCGCGATTGTCGCTATAGCCAGAGCTCGACTGGAAACCGATTCAGAGACCGCAGACCGCGAAACCGCAGTATCGGAGAGTTCAAGATATATATCGAGCGTTCCCGCCGCATACGTATGTACAATGGCTGATACGCGCGAGCATGTGCGCGACATTCATTTTCACCGCTGGCCGTCTATTACGCTCGTTCTTAATCCCCTTAACACACGATGACTTCGCGACGCGCGCACAGTTAACGCACGCAACGTTAACTTTGTTATTAATCCGGTGCGATCCGCAAAGCCGAACGGAAACTCGCTCGACGTTTGCGAAACAATATAAAGAGATTAGACGCGTCGCGCCTCGGGGATTACTGCGATTAAAGATCGCGTGTATAATTTCATTTTGACTTATCGAGTTTAACAAGAAAACTTACCCGACTCTGTAATCCGTGCAAGACGGCGGGGGATTCCAAACGGTGCTGTGGCAGAGCATCCAGTCGCACCAGATCTGCAAAAACAATGAGAAATAAATGAAGACTCGATTGTTTTTTGAATTATCAGCAGCGCGTATTTTTGGACAATTTGTTTTTTCAATGTGAGAAAGATCTGACACGCTTGACGGAAAACAACGTTGCAATTATTCACGCAAATTTATTTGTGAATGCACATACGTTTGTTTACGAACATTAGTTACGCGGTAATTGCGTGTGAAAACAAATTGGATAAAAATAGATGTTTGTTTTTTTTTTTTTTTCAAAGTTAATGCTACTTTCGAACACATTATTTGTTTTCCCGTCAAGTATCGTGCGCATATATTTTGTTCGATACACTTTTATTTCCCCGTCTCATTTGCACGAACTTGTCAAGTCTTTGGCAGTCGGTGAGAGCGCACAAAAGTACTTCGCTATTTATAGACACTCTCGCGCGAGGTGCTTTTTTCATCGGGCACGTCCATCCATCCTCATAAAGTGAAACGTATTCCAGCGGCCTTGTATCGCGTCTACTTTATCGGCAATATTAATGGTCTCACCTCAGTCGCAAGCGCGAGTCTGGCTATTATTCCTTGTATCAGCTCGCATTCCGATAGTAATCATTGTTTCATTTTTTTCTCGAGTCTCTTTTCTCGTTAAGCCGAGAGGATGAGTAATACAATTCTTGCGAGACGCGCTCTACATTATCTACGTTAGCATTAACAAAATATTCCTTTATAACCGGAACAAAAAAAAAAAAAAAAACCGATAGCTAATCAACGCGATTCAACGGTCCGGGGAGATTGTACTGTAAAACACAATCATCTCGGAGTGCTTTTTACACTTACACTGAAAACATTTATATATTTCCGTTTTTAAAATGATTAGAAAAACAAGGATCGTCTTGGGCGAGATCGTTCACGTTTAGCGAATTGTTAATTACATTCCGGATCTCGCACCGGCTCGCCAGCGACTATCATACCTCCGTTTCGCGATATTTATAATGCGGTTTATAGATTTAAATGAGAATAACCGATAGCTTCTAGAGATACTATCGTATTCCTTTAATCGATAAAGCGCGCGCATGCGCGCATCTCACATATGAGGGTGCATTAAGCGCGAACGTTGAGTTGCATAATAAGTATAGCGATACGATCGGATTCTTGATCTGACACACTGGCCACCAGCAGATCTTGCGTGGGCGTAAAACTTTCGCGGAGCTTCATAAATTCTCCGTCGGTTTACGCGCGTGAAAAAATCGACGTCTTTCAGATTGGTTGCAATCGCGTCGTGAACCAGTGACAGTCAACTCTGGTGAATCGCTATAAATTATCCCGAGGAAAACGGCAGCGAATAAAAACACAGTTGGGAGTAAAATCTTTTTTTTTTTTTGTTTCTACAAACACGCGCTCATTCCATCCGTCGGATCTGAAACTGTTGAACTGTGGTCCCAAGCAAGAAGTCGAAAGGTTGGCCGTCACTGCTCCAGATCTATTATAATTATCCCGTAATGGCGAGCGCCACGAACGATGGACGTGATCGAGCGAACGTTTCGACTCGGAAATTGACTTACGTTCGCCGACCCGCGTCGCAAAACGCAATTAAGACTTCGCTCGACCGATACGCATTGCCCGACGATGACGGGGAGAAGACGGAAAGGTACCTTAATGGCCGGCAGGAGCACTTGCAGATCCTCGCCGACCACCAGTCTCGGCTCCTGCCCGCTGTCTAGTTGAGCTTTCAACAGAGATACACCGCGTTCTAGGATGAGGCTGAACATCTGCAACGATACGACGAGCGCTCGTTCCTGCACCTCCGATCTATACCCTTGCTCCATTTGTGCATCTGCAAATCAAAATCAACATTTGTTTTTATGTAGATTATAAAGCTTTTAATTAAACTCCGCAGAAGAAACGCGCAAATGTAAAACGAAAAAGATAAAAATATCTCCTCAGAAAGATACAAAAAATGTTTCAATAAACAACTACTTTACATAATTTTTACTTTGTCTAAAGAAATTGTAATAAGTTTTAAAGTTTAAAGTTTGCTGATTGTACAAAAAAAAATATTCTCTTTCCCTCGCGATTTGTATCGCGTCTTCCTTTATACGTACACATCCTGAAAATAAAAACTTGAACCGTGTTTTTTACAACAGTCGTAAAAACTTCTTTGAAATAGTTTTTATCTTTCGCGGAGCACCGTCAGGAATTGTCAGGGATCGTCGGGAAACACCATTTCGAGATTACGAGCACCAACTCGCAGGGGGAAGGAATGTGCGAGAGGGTGTATCCTTTCTCTCTCCCGGCAATATCTGGATAGCAAATTGGTGATGATTGTTGTGCGTCGGAAGAGAGAAGAGCGCGTAAGCTAATGCCGGTAGCGATCACGTTTCGGTGATGATGATGATGATGATTATGATCATGATCATGATGACGATGATGATGATGATGACGACGACGATCATGATGATGATGATGATGATGATGACGACGATGATGATGATGATGATGGCCGATCGGTGCGCGCCGATGCGCAATTCATTCGGCGTCGCGACCGGATTCGCCATTGGCGGCCGATGCGCACCTCTCGTCGGGGCTGTCATTACGCGTCGTATCGAAGCTACGTGACGGGATGTGGCTCCCGGCGGATTCGAAAGAGCGAAGGTCACGCCGCGACCTTCTTGCACTTCTGCCTCCCGGCCCGGAATCATTTCCAGGCCGTTTCCTGGAGCGATTTCCTCGAAGAGAATCCAACAGTGCGATCTAACAAAATCGATCCCTTCAACGGAAGGGAGAGAAAACATTCTCTCGGAAGAGAGACGACGATACCATCTACGAGGGAAGTTTAATTTGCAGTAACACGAAAGATATATTTCGAATATCATTCTAACTCATTCCTAAGAGGAAATAAACTTTATCAATTTCGTTTTCTACTCGTCTGTTATCCTCGAACTATCGGAAGCGCACGAGTTTTGCGCTACGTCGCGAATACTACGAATACTCTCTCTCTCTCTTTCTCTTTCGTGCGAGTATATATGTATATATATATATATATATATATATACTTCGGCGAACAACCGTTCGTTCCCTTGTGCGTCTTTATTAGCGGACTATAGCGAAGCTAATTAGATGAGCGTTGCTAACGATGGTGTAATGGACTCGCGCAAGAACACCACTTGTCGGGACTACTGGCGTTTATTCTTGAAAACGAATAATAGCAACAGGCTAAATATGAGGAAAATCTCTTTGCTGATAATTTTACTTGTTGTAAAAAACATTACGTTCTTCAGAGAAAAAAGACCCGTAAATGCGACTCTAAAATAATTGAGCATGCACAAGTTATGTTAAATGACACCATTAGGAGAGACAGAGGAAAGGACTGTGCAAAACCTACATGCGCAGATAAACTTCATATTCATTAGTCGTTCCTATTTTTCGTTTGCCGTAGAAGTTGGCGGCGACTCTCCAAAGGCGTCCGAACATTCCGCTCACGCGCGAGTAAGGGCGTGATTTTTCGTGACGCGAATTAACTCGCTTGCAGAATGGAAGGATAACACAAATCTAACAAGCGGGAGGGCAGCGCACCGACCGACCGTGCCATCCTCCCATGCCGTTCTCCATCAAGCGGCATGCATGCGCACGAGAGCCATATTCGAAGGTGGACTCTCTGGCAGTTTAATTTATCGCAGACAAGGATAATAATTAGCATTTAACCGCGAGGTCACTCCGAGAAAGAAAGAGAAAGAAAGAAAGAGAAAAAGAGAAAGAGAGAGAGAGAGAAAGAGAGAGCTCGTGTGGTCGTCTCCTCATCGAGGAGTCGGGAGTGTAAAGGATAATTAGTTAGAGAAGATTTACAGGGGAGAGGCTCCAAGTAATTGCCACTGCGATCATTAGCGAAAGTGAGCGTATCATCCAGCGTCGACTTCCTTGTCTTTCACGCGATTTAACTGCTATCGTTAATCCGCAAATAGACGCGATGTATACGACCGTGACTATCTCGGCGAGACAAGGTGGAAATTCAATTATATCTATGACTATCGTCAACGCGACATTGTTGACGAGATAAAGTAAACGAACGAGGTGGTGCGTTTTCTTTTCTATTGAAAACTCTCGTGTTGAAACAGTACAACACATACGAGGATAAGGAAAGGCCAACGAACTCCGCAAAGGATACACATACGCTTCCTCTTATCGAGATCCTTAACTAACTTAAGTAAAACGCGACAGCGCGAGATCTTGTGCGAGAATCGAGCGAGTGTGCGCGCGCGCGCGCTTACTCTCTCTCTCTCTCTCTCTTTCTCTCTCTCTCTCTCTCTGTTAATGAAGCCGGTGGGTAAGCTCGGCCTTCCTGTTTCCCGGACCAATATTAACGCGATTACGAACGGAATCGAGTTAGCGAGCTGCTCGCAGAGCTGATTCGATTACGAACGATTCTAGCAGACACCGCGCCCCCTCTAATTCGCTGAATTCGCGCTGCTCCATCCGCGGGATATTGCATTTTCATGAGACATTTTTTTCTGCCGGTTCCAAAGAAAACAGTAATCCTCTGGGGGAGAAAAAGTAAGCGAGAAGTGTATCTTCAAAGAGATAATATTTAAGATATATATTTATATATATCTTATACGTTACGTCGACGTACTTCCGAGTATCTCTCTCTATTATTTTTTTTTTTTTGTATTTTTTTATTTGCTATCCTCACATATTATCTTCAATTTTCTTTTATGGAAGAACTTGCGTTTTTAGTGGCCGTTATTATAATTATTCAGGTATTCGAGAACGATCTTTTTTTCGACAGTTGTTTCAAGAGTTGCTGAGGTCCTTAAGTGTTTAACGGTAAAGACAGTAATAACCGATCGCCCGTATCGTCAATACCGTTGTTTTTGACGAGTAAATCGTTTCTTTTGTGCCCAGTAAATTCTGCTATGATATGTATGTATGTATATGTAATATATATAGATATATATATTTAATATATTTATATAATTTTTTATATTGTACGTATCACAGACACGCATACGATATGCGCACTCGTTAATTCGATTATTAACGCGTATTCCCTCGCGCTGACGACTAGAGAAATATGAAAAGCCTATTGTCTACGGATAATCACGTCTTAATGGCCGACAAGAGAGTTATGTATCGTTAAATGTAGCTATAATGCGGAGCACAACGGAGTACAAAATGCAGGATAATTTTAATGACTGCGAATATCTCGGCTCTCTCTCTGTTTTACGTATCTTTATTTTAAGCAGCGTGTGCGCGCTCGCTTGTAGACGGCCGGCCGGCGCGTAGAACCGCGCGCGTGCTTGTTCTGCGGTTTAACGTTTCAATCCTCGCTACCGCGTTCCACCCGCATTTACCGCGCATTACACCCTCATGCTCGTTAACAGGTATTATGTATCTAGAGATATCAAATAAGATTCGTATTGGCAAACTTTTGAACTGCGAATTTTCTCGTAATCGTCATGATGATTCAACTACGGCTCCAATAATCTTCTCTCAATCAGTAGATGATATTTTATTGAAGTTTATTTCTCACTGCAATATATCAAATAATCTTTTCGAAATTTAAAAGCTGAGTTACCAAACTGCTGAAAGTTCAGCTTGAAGTTCACGTCTGAATTCTACTTTTTTCACGCGACGCCAGATATATCGCGTAACTTCTGGAACATCGACTGGACAGAAAACAAATATAAATTATTTGCCAATATTGCCCGATTACAAGTCGTGAAATAAACAACGCGGTTCCAGTTCAGAGCAATTGATCGCAATAATGTCAATAATTGAAGCGCAATAATCTCAGAGAATATAAAGAAAATAAGATACACTCTCAAATTTTCACCTCTCGGTCTCTTTCTCTCACCTGCGTGCTCAAAGCTAAGAGCAAGCTTCATCGCCTATGTGATTTCGAGCTGAAAGATACAAGGTTGCGCAATGAATTTAGCACCGCGCGACCCCGCGGTAATGCCTTTGGAACGACGTGCGCTGACCGCCCGGAGGTAAAGACGATGAGCTACGAGCGCGCCCGTAAATAATCGGGCATAGGTGAATTCACGCCGTCGACCTTCGCGCGCGCGCCGTTTACATCGCGCTAATCACGCCAGTAGATTAATGGGTTCTCCTCATTAGGCCAGAGACCGGCGTAATCGTCATTTTATTAGTCATTTTATCGGTGCGCGCGCGCGCGCGCGCATTTTCCAGCGCGTAATATCCCCGCTCGTGTCGCATTACCATACTATTAACATAGTGCATATCTACCTCGCGGCAACGGTTCAACGACTTCAACCCTTTTAGAAAGCTATATATGTATACACACGCGCGCACATATTACGTTCATTAACTTTTAAGTTAATTTCCGCTGATAGAAATGTCTCTCTTTCAAATACATTTACGACCATATCACGTTAATTGGTTCAATTAAATCAGCAAATGTTTTTTTTGTGTGTGGCAAAGATATAACAATTTGATTTTCCTATTTTCCAGTTTAGATAAATCCTCTCGCAACGAGAGACTTGCTCAGTTAAGCTCATCAAAGGAGATAAGCAAGTTTATGCAACACAGCGAGGAATTTAACGACGACGCGCGATCGTTTCTCAGCTCGTGCACGCGAAGAGGCTACCGCCGCCGTAGTAGAGGGAATCGCTGACAGGCGCCTGGCGCCGAGAACACGTTACGGGAAGCTGTGTCGCCATCTCCGCCGTCGTGTGAACGAACTGAAGAAACGAACTGAGACCCTCGTTTGCACACACACGTCGATGTGTTCGCACAAACGCCGATGTATACACGAAGAAGAGATGAGATACGCGCCGTCCTTGGCCATTTTTCAATCGATAAGGGAAACGTTCG